ACTTTTTTATGAAAAAAAATTATAACAGAAAGCATATTTACAAAATACGTTTTCATCATAATTTTTGTTTATAATAAAAACTGAAATCATAATTTTTCAAATAAAAAACTAAAACCATATTTGCAAAATACGTTTGTATTTTATAAATACGTTTTCATATTACATTTTTTAAAATATAATTAATAAAAAAATAAAAAACATATTTTGTAAATACATTTTCATCATAATTTTTTTAAAAAAAAATTAATTAATAAAAAGCGTGTTGAAATAGAAAGCATATTTCGTAAGTACACTTTTATTTATCTTTTAAACATTTAATAGTGTTGAAATAGAAAGTTTATTTTTTTTAGTTGCCAAAACCTATACTTTTGGCTACTAAATGTTTTTAGTCGCATTCTTTCAAAATATTTTTTTTATATATATAATGTGTGTTTTTTTTCAATATATATATATATATATATATATATATATATATATATATGTCAAAAACATGTTTTTAGTTAAAAAAAATAAAAATAAAAATTACGCTTTGCATTTTATTATTGTTATACACTTTTTTTTTTTTGGTGTGCTCAGGTCTAATTTATGAACCTTTTGAGGACATAGATCCAAGTGCCTTGTTGTTTGGATCCATAAGGACAAGCGCGTAATTTGCTTCGTCCGTAAGGACATTGCATTATCAACAATGATAGAGACCACTAATTTTGGAGCTCTAAAAAGACCACTAATGACATGGCACTCAATAAAAAAAGAAAAAAAATACAATACCAAGGCCAAAACATCAAATCATTCATAGTAGGACCCACTGCCACATCATTAGTGATAACACTAATTAGTGCTCTCACTCATTTTTCTTGCATTATTTGTGCAAGTGTGCCCATCAACCCCTCCTCTCTCTCTCTCTCTCTCTCTCCCCAAACGGTGATGGAAGTGGAGTCAGCATCGAGGCTATTCTCGACACCAATGAACTCTACAAAGCCACCCAACTCTACCTCAAATCTGTAAGATTATAGGATCTATATACTAGAAATCAAAACACTATGAATATAATTAATTACTAAAATATAAACTTAAATACATACCATTTAATTCCATGATTGTCTTGAGTTTTACTTCTTTGAAAGAAGATGGTATTCACAATCGGAAAACCTTAGCACCAGCTCTTCCCCTCCTTCTCCTAATCTTTATGTTGTCTTTCAATGGGGCTGACAATCCTTTGATCTACATATATATAGATATATGTAAACCCTAATAAGGATAGGAGAGGGGATTGGGCCTAAATAAAACAATTACTGGGCCCTCCCATTAAGGAACCCAAAAAACTTAAAACAGGCCTTACACCTCCATATCACATATCCACATATAAAATAATATATACACTAAGATGATCATGGCCCAAACTTTATGCATCACAATAATAATTTTGGGCTCATACCAGTCAATCTATCTAAATCACGTTCAACCTGTTTTTCACAAACCAAACAAAATATAGTCAATGACAACCTAATTAAGAATAAATTCTTACATTCTCGGGTTAAACAACTTTAGTGGCCACATAAACATGATTCAGAATAGAAACATCTCAGCACAGAATCCCGTTCAATGGGAAATATTAATATCGAACTGTAGCGGTAATTATGCTATTGAACAACATAACATCTTCCACAATTACAAACACTAATATCTCACCAACATGGATTCCTATATGTGATAAAGCGTAGTGTGGAATTTCAGCATAATTGATCCAAAAATTATATAACATGCTAATTCCACATTCAATCCTCTGTATGGTCTTGACAAGACCCTGCAAGGAATTTCATTCCTTTCTCCACTTCTAAAAGAAGCCTTTACACCTCTAAACCAAGGTGATTCATGCTTTAAACCAAGCATCAGACTTTATGGATCCATATACACTTCTAAACCGAAGCATAATACACTTCTAAGTTAAAGTGTCAATCTTTATATCTCAAAATTTAAATATAACTGTAAGAGTTCATAGAAGATGAATACATACATAATAGTTACCATTTATGTGTACACACATAACAGTCGTGTGGCATAAATATGTGATTTATGTGGATGTATTAGTGTTGGCCATCTATCAATTGCTAATCTTTTAGTCATTGTTCATGGTTGGTTTAGTGTATTTCTACTGGGCTGTGGCTCACCCTATATGGGAATATCATTTTCAGGTACAGGTAGCATGCCACCTCCAAGGACATAGCTTGGGAGGCTAGAGGCGGACATACTTTTGTCGTTTTATTTTTGATGTATTACATGTAAATTCAAGCCAAGGGCTTAATGTGTAAGCGAGTTAGTACTCTCTTGTTGTAACCAAGTGTTAACTTGGAAAGCTGTAAGCCTTTAGGGCATTTGCTTTTGTTATTAACATGTAATACTTTTTGTAATGAAACCTTGATAAATGGAAGAATGTGGAACTTTTACATATCAATGAATGTCTTATTTGATGGGTTTAATGTTATTATTTTGAGGGCGTTACAATTATTATGCTTAATAAATTATTTATACTTAGTAAAGTAAAATAAAATTTAAAAATCTCAACTACAAATTAAAATAAATTTATGTAATTTTTGTTTATATTCTATTTTCTAGTAAAAAAATAAAATTAAATTAAATTTATAATTCAGATTTAATATTCCTATTATTTAGTAAATAATTCAAAAGGACAAAATAATCTTTTGAGCATTTATTGTTATCCATAATATTCTAAACAAATGTAGGATTCAATAGAATAGTCCAATCTAGACATCTAATCTCATGACTAAAAAATATAAAATACAAATCCAGTCCAACCAAATAGTCCGGAGACAATGTATTTCAGGACTAACAGTCTGATGGATTACAATCCCTCCCTTATCAAGTCCATCCAAACAAACACACCCTAAGAGGTAAGTGAAGATTTGTTTGGTTTATTTTTGAGAAATTTCAAAAAAAAAATTATGATCAAATAAATATCAAAATATTATTTTTAAATTTTTAAAATTTATTCTGACTTTTTAAAAGATAGAATTATGTAAAATTAATAAATTCTTTTAATTTTTTTTATTTCCTTCACCAAATTAATTTTTAATTTTTCTAAAACAAATTTTTAAAAATTAAACCAAACATGGCCAATGTCACTAATATTCCGAATTGGACACTATTTGCATTAACTCCGTTTTGGGTTCTTCAAATTCAAAGAGAGAAATCATATGAATAATGATTAAGATGTATATTGTTAAAATAATTTAAAATATTTTTATTAATAAATGAGTAATATTTCTCGGGCCATTAACCTGTTTGAATCTTTTTTTATTCTCAAAATTAAATAAATAAGCTGTTTTGAAATTTATTTTCCAAAATAAGTCCAAACATATTTTGTAAATACTTTTTTATGAAAAAAATTATAACAGAAAGCATATTTACAAAATACGTTTTCATCATAATTTTTGTTTAAACAATTAATAAAAACTAAAATCATAATTTTTCAAATAAAAAACTAAAACCATATTTGCAAAATACGTTTGTATTTTATAAATACGTTTTCATATTACATTTTTTAAAATATAATTAATAAAAAAATAAAAAACATATTTTGTAAATACATTTTCGTCATAAATTTTTTTTTAAAAAAATTAATTAATAAAAATCTTGTTGAAATAGAAAGCATATTTCGTAAGTACACTTTTATTTATCTTTTAAACATTTAATGGTGTTGAAATAGAAAGTTTATTTTATAAATATAGTTTTTTTTTTTTTTTACAACGTGCTTTCAAAATAATCTTTTTATATAAATAGTGTGTTTTCTTTCAACATATATATATGTCAAAAACATGCTTTTAGTTAAAAAAATAAAAATAAAAAAAATTACAATTTGCATTTTATTATTGTTATACACAATTTTTTTTTTTTTTTTTTTTTTGTGTGCTCAGGTCTATTTTATGAACCTTTAAGGACATAGATCCAAGTGCTTTGTTGTTTGGATCCATAAGGACAAGCGCATAATTTGCTTCGTCCGTAAGGACATTGCATTATCTGTACAAAGTGTGACCATCAACCCCTCTTTTCTCTCTCTCTCTCTCTCCCCAAATGGTGATGGAAGTGGAGTCAGCATCCAGGCTATTCTCGATACCAATGAACTCGACAAAGCCACCCAACTCTACCTCAAATCCTCTACCTCCATTGCTAGAAACCGCATCTCCTTCACAAGCACCACCAACTCCTTCACCATCACCTTCGCTCTCTCCAACGATCGCTTCGTCGACAGGTAGAGTTAGGGACAGAGGAAACAGTTGAGACCCTTATTGACTGGTTGTTGAAGACAAAATCAGAGGATATGGAGACCGTAACGACAGAAAGCAACCGAAAGGCATGGGCAAAAATGGCATCGGAAAAGGTTATTGAGCCATGGAACCTGACGTCGAAGACGGAATATCATGGTGTTGCTGCAGCGGAAGAAGCGGTGGCTATTGGTGGTTCATAGACTGCAGAGCAAGATTGTTTCACTAGAGAGCAACTAGGGGGCTAAAGGTGAGAATCCAAGAAATCTCTTTGAATCATAATTGAATGTCACGATTGAGCTCTAGAGGAAGCGCGTGTAGGTGAAGATCAACGATTCCGCCGTTGTGTGCATTGTCGGGAATGGCAAAAGCAATGCCACTTGCTTTCTGAGTAGCAATGGCGAGTGGTGGTTGTGGAAGGACGACGTCGTTTAGCAAAGGAGGGGGCGATTGCTAATTAGGGCGAGAGGAGGGTGGATTCGCCGGAGATGAGAACTAAGAGGCTTTGAAGGCTAAATAGGAGTAATTGAACAAATAAAAAAATACTAACCGCAATTGAACAGATAATTGAAAAAAATTAAACAGACACCCTTCTCTCTATATATATACATCTGTGTACATAGATGAGAATTTGAAAAAATAAAATAAAAAATTAAGTAGATGGATTAAAATAAATAGGTTCAAAAAATCCAACAAATAAAATAAAATTTTAAATAGATAGATTTAACAGAAATTAAAAATATTAAAATAATTTAAACAAATAGATTTAAAATATTAAAACAAATTTGACAAATAAAACTATCAACGGCTTGGTTGAAATGAAAGCCTCTCCAATGGTACAGTCAGTGACTAGGAGAGAAGAAGAGATGATGCAAAGAGAGTGTATATGTTGAATGTATGAAAATCAGATCCTTGTAAAGAGAGTAAAGTTCAACCTTTATAGAAGAAGGTTGTTTTTCCTCCAAAATCTCACTCTTTGTGCCATTTGTCCCTATTTGTGTGTCTTAATCGTCTCCCATTAAAGTAGGGGCAACGAGTCAGCCTAACAACCATGTATGCAGGCCTCCTCGTCCTCTGCCTCCCCACATTCCATTCAGGTAGAGGGAGAGTTGTCACAAAAAAAAAAGAAAAAAAAAAGAGGAGCAGGTCGCTCATCTGAGTTGACCTTATCCAACTTGACCCACTTCAGAGTAATTGTTCAGTCTAGAAGTCCAACCCGTTGCTCGACCTTCTTCAGAGACCTTGCATGTTGGGCCGAGCTCTCTGTAACTAGCCTGCCCCAGAATGGGCCAAGCACTGGGCCGAGCTTCTTAGCTTGCCCGCATCGGAGAGCAGGCCTTGCACATTGGGCCTCGCTCCAATGCTTGTCCTGCTTTGAAGCCAGTGTTAGTCGTTGGTCCGAGCTCTAACCTAACCCAACTTCAGGATGGGCCTAGCATTAAAACAAATTTGTTGTAGGAGCTTCATGACAGAGCTATGCAACATTCATGAGGGAGTTATGCAGTACTCATGAGAGAGCTATGTAGGAGCTTTAAATTGCCATTAACTCAAAAAAGATTTCTCCTGACTAATTGAATCAGAGGATGATACCAATCTTCTTTTTTCTTCCGGTTTTATAGATTTTACCATGGAATCCACATGCATATAACTAATACTTGAGGAGGTGAAAACATGCAATTTTTGTTCATGTAAATAAAGCCTTAATCCTTTTCTCTGTATGTGGGTATTCTCTATATGTGGATGCCTGTGCGCACATGTAATGATTTTGACATTCTGAATCCAACCTTGAATAATAATTTGCATGCCTCTCTATATATATATGCTCACAAACCAAACCAAACCCAAATAATACAAACTACTTACTTGGAAGGAAAATGTTGGGATATTAATATTGTGCATCTACTGCTACGAGTAGAGTAGTAATAGGTCACAACACAAAGCTAACATATTTTTTGTGTCACTGCAAAACATGGCACAAATACATCCTTCCTTCTAGACTTTGTTCCTACATAACAAAAAAACTTCCCCACCAAACTGTCCACTATTCACCACTTTCTCAGCTAACCTCAAACTTTTCACCATCCTCTACGCTTGCTCTCTTGCATTATGCAGAGAACTGACAAAAAAAAATTTACATTGTAGGGGGAGATGGTGTGTACTCACTCAGGTCACACCTAGTTGTTTGTTTGTTAACGATACCACACAATGGGGGTAGTTGTGTTCTCAGGAAGCTGTGGGATCATGCAGTGTTGCTGCTGCCACTGATGTATGCCTTCACTCATCTCATTAAACTCATATCCTTGCCCTGGTTTGCTTTCCTCAACATCCATGGTAGCTTCTCCCATGTCTTCAGTCTCCATCAACTCTGAGACCTCAGTTCTGGGAACGTCTGGTCCTGATGTTAGAGGAATCTGTGAAGCAACCCATGGAACAACTGCTAAGCAGTCATTGGTATTTGAACCCTGTCTTTCTGCTGTTTTTATGGCATTAGACTGGCTAGACCAGAGGATTTGATCTACAACAACATGACACACCATTAACGGGTTAATATTTAATTTTCAAACTTGTGGCACCAGCTTTACCTAAATATCATGCAAATAAAATAGAATAACTAGTACATCCTGTCCTGTGTCTCACTCAGTCACTCACTCAATCACTATCTGCTTTGAAGAAAATGGCAATTCAGAAACCATGGAAGTGGTTATTCAAAGTAACAATCCAATTTCAAGAAAATAATGTTGGTACAGTTAAAAGTATTTCCACCAAAACAAACAAAACGCAGGAACAATCAATCCCCTTAAAAGCTAAAGGCTAATTAAACTCCAATGCTAGCTTACACTCGCTAATCAAAACACTCATTTGGAAAATGACAAATCCAGGAAACTCAAAACCTTTCTTGGGTTCAGTAAACAAATCATTCAATGGGAAAAGTTTCACACTTAGGTTTTGTTTGGAAAGTGGATTGACTTTTTGACTATTTTAGCCTGGGACTAAAAAGTTTGATTTGGAAAAGACTTTCTGATTTTTTTGGACTTTTTTGGCTTTTTTGTAAGAGAAAGAATGTAATAATTATGGGTTGGATGTGATGTTTTGTCTTATTGGACTAAAAAGTCTATTTTGTTTTTTTTTTTGTTGTTGCTATTTTAGCCAAAAAAAAGCCCCAAACCCTCTTTCCCAAACGAGCCCTAAGTGGTGTGTTTGGCAGAAGGCAAAACATGGGAAGATTTGGGGAAAAAATGACTAATTTGTTTTCTCTCTCCTCTTGCATCTTTTTCTATTCTACAAAACATAAAAAAAATTTTATCCTCCCACTTTTTATCCCAAAGAATTCAAGAATAATTGTCCCTCAATAATGCATAGTAAAAAGGAAGCTAGCAAACAATTTTATGCAACAACAAAATGTAAGAAACTTGTCAGCAAAGCAAAGCAAAGCAAAGCAGAGCAAAGCAAGCTGCTTAGGTAGACATTGATATGTGCATGTTCATAGGCAAATGTGAAAAAGCATAGTCCATAAGTGTGAGTGTTAGTGTGAGGTGCTTGAATGATTATGAGAGAATCTTGATTTGAAAGTGCAAAGAAAGCAAGCAAGCATTAAAAAGAAATGTAGGCAAACAGTAAAATGAATGAAGAAGCAGAAAGAGGGGGTTTAAGAGCTTACTTTTGATACCCAAAAGTAGGTCAGAATTGAGAGAGAGAGACAAGTCAGAAGGAGGAGAGTGGAAGAAAGGATATGGATGTGCATGTGAATTGATGACGGGGGGGTTGAAGAGAACAAGAGCCCTCTCTTCATTTTCATTTTCACTTTCATTGTGAGGATGACTAGTAGGAGGAGGAGGAGGAGGAGGAGAAGGAGGACCACCCAATTCCTCCATATTCATATTATTGATATTGCTTGCAACATCCTCCGCTTCTTCAGGCGCCAACTTTTGTACCTCTGCATGATCTGCCTCTTCCTCTTCCATTATGGGCGGCAATTCAGCGTCCTAATATTATTATCATTATTATTATTAGTAAGAAAAACAAACACACCACACCACTTTATCAGACAAAAGAAACACCACCATTTCCAACACCAAACAAAATCACACTTTCAATTACAATCTCTAATTTATCCAAATACATCTCCAATTTATTTATTTAGTAAAATTCTAACTGAAAACATGGTGGTGTTTGGAAAGTTTGGGATTTGGATTTTTTTTCGCAAAAAGACAAACTTTTTATAAAACCAAAAAAAAAAAATTACAAATAAAATATCACTTCTAACCCCATAATTATTTCACTTTTTCTCAGGCAAACATCTCATCCAACGACAAAAAAAAAAAAAACAAAAAAAACCTAACAGAGGACATGTTTGGTTTCCGAGAAAATTGATGGAAAATCAACGAAATATCAGAAGAAGAAGAAGGAACCAACCAGTCTGCGGATTTTTCTGGCAGGTGAGGAGAGGGAAAAGTCGGAAAAGTCATCGTTGACATCTTCGAGGTCCTTCCTCTTCATCATCTTCATCGCCAAATACCCAGCCATCAAACGATCTCAACCCCTAAAACTCCCAACTCTCAACCAATCAAACCCTAACTCCCAAACCCAAAACCCCCTCAATAATAATATTCTTCACAAATTCTAAACAATTGATTCTCTCTTTCTCTCTCCCCCTCTGTGTTGTGTGTCTGACTAGACAGTTGTTTTCTCTCACTAGACTAGAATTAGATGATGATATGATGGCAGTTCGGTGGTTAATATCTTGAGGTCAGGGGAAGAAGGGAAGAGACTTCTTTCTCTATCTAGATTCCTCCAGAAGGTAATGGAAAGATAGAGAGAGAGAGAGAGAGTTGTCAAAAACAAAAACAAAAAAAAACAAAAAAAAAGGGAAAAGTTCAATTGACCTCGGTTGCCACGTTGAGTTTTACAGCATTGTACTCGCGCTATAAGAGCAGTCGGAACTTCTATTTGCACACACTCATTTCTTTTTATTACATATTTTTTTAATAAATAATTAATAATTAATTTAGAAGTAGAGTTTTAAAAATAAATAATTAATCTATTTGTACAAACTCATTTTTTTTTTTACACATTTTTTTTAATAAATAATTAATTTAAAAGTAGAATTTTAAAAATAAACAATTAATTCGAAAGTAATATTCTGAAAATCAATAACTTGTTCAAAAGTAGAGTCTCGAATTTTTTTTCATTTTTTCGACATTCAACTTCTAAATGTGTTTATTTAATGTCTATAATAATTATTTAATAAAAATAATTTTTATTAAGTGTGTGTAAAGAGACGAATGATGTGCAAATAGAAGCTCCCAAGAGCAGCGTGTCTCATTTCTCATTTCATTAAGTACCGTTTTGGGAAGAAGCCAAAAACGCAGCGTTTGGCAACAACAACAAAAACGCAGCACCATGTAAAAAGCCAAAACCTACCATTTGGAAAGACCTCAAAACGCAACTTCTTCATTTACCAAACTACCCTCTAAAAAAATTATTATTACTTAATTCAAAATAGTGTTGACATGTCAAAGGGCAAAATTGTAAATCTAATTAAAAAGTAAGGATATTTTGGTCATTTTAGAGTGATGTGACACTTTTACAAAATATTAAATTTAAATAAAAAAAAGTTAACTTTTTACCAATTTCCCAAATCACTTCCAAAAAAGTCAAAAAGCTTAGTAAAAAGTCAAAAGTCAACTTTTTACCAACTTTCCAAAACACCCCTAAAATGACCACTAACACCCTTGTTTGGAATTGTAACAACCCCCATACTGTTTACTGATTAATGACCGATTGATTACCGATAATCACCGATTACTGTTAAACGAAACTGATAATGACTGATAACTGACTGATAATCGAACTGAATGAAATACTGAACTGACTGACTGAAAATTGAAACTGAATTGACTGAGTATATGTTAGTTAATTGCATTCTATCTGTTTGATTGTCTGATTATCTGTTCATGTTTATATGTTTAAACTGCTAATTGAAGGCCTTATCGGCGGCCGAATTAGAAACCGATTGATGTTCCGTGACCCTCATATTTAATGTGATTTTATGGTATAATTATCTGAAAATTGATTAAGTATGATTAAATTAGATTAAATTAAGCTAATTAAAGAGTTTGCCATATTTACCATTTTGCCACATGAGTGGCCCACTCAATACACATACTTGAGCCTTGTATGTACACACTTGAAGAACATTCCCAACAGCCATATCTCTTGTTCTAGCCGACCTTGAGGAAGAGAGAGTGAGAGTTTGTGTGGTTCTTGAGATTTGGCTTAAACAACTTAGAGAATTGAAGGTTGATTGTTGCTTTGTGGTCCTACACTTGTAATTGAGGCTCTAGGTAAGAGAACTCAACCTTTATTGATGTGTTTGAGCTAGTTCTTGCATGGTTCATGCTTTAATTGTAGAGTTAAGCCATGTTTTGGTGCATACATGTTGGATTGAAGCTCATCTCTTGCATGCATGTTAGTATTGTTGCATTTTGAGGTTGATTGCATGGACATTAGTACATGCATGCTCATATTGTTGTTATAGACCATGTTTTCATCTGGTTTTGAAAAGGAATGAACTCCTTAGAGCATCAAATTGGAGCTTTGAAATGATTTGAATTCATGCATGTTTGCATGTTCTTCATATTCTTGAAAATGGGTTTGAATGTGGTTTTAATTGACTCACCTTAACAAAATCACAATTTCAATTACAACCTCTAATTTATCCAAATACATCTCCAATTTATTTATTTAGTAAAATTCTAACTGAAAACATGGTGGTGTTTGGAAAGTTTGGGATTTGGATTTTTTTTCGCAAAAAGACAAACTTTTTATAAAACCAAAAAAAAAAAATTACAAATAAAATATCACTTCTAACCCCATAATTATTTCACTTTTTCTCAGGCAAACATCTCATCCAACGACAAAAAAAAAAAAAAAAAAACCTAACAGAGGACATGTTTGGTTTCCGAGAAAATTGATGGAAAATCAACGAAATATCAGAAGAAGAAGAAGGAACCAACCAGTCTGCGGATTTTTCTGGCAGGTGAGGAGAGGGAAAAGTCGGAAAAGTCATCGTTGACATCTTCGAGGTCCTTCCTCTTCATCATCTTCATCGCCAAATACCCAGCCATCAAACGATCTCAGCCCCTAAAACTCCGAACTCTCAACCAATCAAACCCTAACTCCCAAACCCAAAACCCCCTCAATAATAATATTCTTCACAAATTCTAAACAATTGATTCTCTCTTTCTCTCTCCCCCTCTGTGTTGTGTGTCTGACTAGACAGTTGTTTTCTCTCACTAGACTAGAATTAGATGATGATATGATGGCAGTTCGGTGGTTAATATCTTGAGGTCAGGGGAAGAAGGGAAGAGACTTCTTTCTCTATCTAGATTCCTCCAGAAGGTAATGGAAAGATAGAGAGAGAGAGAGAGAGTTGTCAAAAACAAAAACAAAAAAAAACAAAAAAAAAGGGAAAAGTTCAATTGACCTCGGTTGCCACGTTGAGTTTTACAGCATTGTACTCGCGCTATAAGAGCAGTCGGAACTTCTATTTGCACACACTCATTTCTTTTTATTACATATTTTTTTAATAAATAATTAATAATTAATTTAGAAGTAGAGTTTTAAAAATAAATAATTAATTCGAAAGTAATATTCTGAAAATCAACAACTTATTCAGAAGTAGAGTCTCGATTTTTTTTATTTTTTCGACATTCAACTTCCAAATGTGTTTATTTAATACTGTATCCATAATAATTATTTAATAAAAATAATTTTTATTAAGTGTGTGTAAAGAAAGGAATGATGATGTGCAAATAGAAGCTCCCAAGAGCAGCGTGTCTCATTTGGGAAGACCTCAAAACGCAACTTCTTTATTTACCAAACTACCCTCTCAAAAAATTATTATTAATTAATTCAAAATAGTGTTGACATGTCAAAGGGCAAAATTGTAAATCTAATTAAAAAGTAAGGATATTTTGGTCATTTTAGAGTGATGTGACACTTTTACAAAATATTAAATTTAAATAAAAAAAGTCAGCTTTTTACCAACTTCTCAAATCACTTCCAAAAAAGTCAAAAAACTTAGTAAAAAGTCAAAAGTCAGCTTTTTACCAACTTTCCAAAACACTTCTAAAATGACCACTAACACCCTTGTTTGGGATGACCTAAATAAGTGCATTTTTTATCTTTTTACGAAAAGATGTGCAGAAAAATAAAAAGGTGATGTGATAAAAAAAATATAAAAAGATTGATTATTTTGTGTATGCCAAACTTTCAACTTTTTATTCCATCCGTTTCAAAATGATGGTTCTCTTTTAAAAAATTTAACTTTATTATCACATTTTAAAAAAATTAATTTTTTAAAATTACTTTTTGATGATATATTTTTTAGAAAATATCAATATCATAATTATACTTTTTATATTATTAATGAATTTAAAAGAATGACAAAATAAAAAAATTATATTATTTTTATACTTGATTTTTGAAAAAGAACTAATATTTTGGGATAATAAAAAATAGAATAAGGGACTAATATTTTAAGACGGAGGGAGTATCTAATTAAATTTTAAATTGTAAAAAAAAAATTAATTAAATATAAATTATTTTAATCTTTCCAACAAATTTTTATTAAAATATTTTTAAAAATTCTTCTTTTATTCCAAATTTCTCTTTTCATTAAATTTAATAAATTCTCAATTTGATTAAAAAAATCATTCTCTCAATTTGATAAATATTTAATAAAAGGATTAGAAATGATTTTTAAATACTTTTTTAACAAATTTAGAATTTATTAAAATAAAAGATGAAATATTGGAGAAACTATAACGCCTCATATTGCATCAAATTTAACACAAAAAAAAAAAAAACAAAACAAAACAAAAGAATACAAAAAACAAAAAACAACTCGCGTTCGCTTCTAAATTCTTCTATTTTTAGTGATTTATTTTTAAATTTGGACTAAGTATAAAAAATATTTAGAAGTTAAAAAAATAAATTTAATTTTTTTAAAAAAAAATTCACTAAGAACAAAAGAAAGTTATAACAAAGTCTATTATGTTTTACATTTTGTGTTTTGTGAATTTTTTTACAAATTTTTGTTTTGACTTTTTTTATTCATTAGTCGAATAGACTCTAAAAATTCAAATTTTTTTTTAAAAAAAAAAGGCACTAAAAATATTTATCTCAAACACTTATTAAAAATTAAGAAAAATAGGAAAAATTATTTCTTAAGAATGAGTAATAAATAGCGTACATAAAAGTAAGGGAAAGTCAAAAGTCTTAACATAGTTGTGCAATGTTAAACAATAATAACTTTGACTCTCTTTTTTGAATAATGTTTGAGGGTTCGAAATTAGTGGCCCGAATGTGGCTCAAAACCCAAAACGACGTCGTTTTGGGTTTTGATTTTTTTTTTTCTTCCTTCCTCTTCTTTCTTTTCTTCTTCTTCTTCTTCGTTTTGAACCTGAGAAGCAGAGGCGAGAGAGAGAAACAGAGGGGAGAGGTGGGAGCTCATCGTCGGTCGTCGGCCAATCGTCGCAGCTCGTCGGTCGTCGGCCGATCGTCGCCTCTGCCTCCGTCCGCCTCCGCCTCTGCCTCTGCCTCCGCCTCCCTCCGCCTCCGCCTCCGCCTCCGCCTCCAGCCCTATTTTTAGGGCCCCCTCCAGTTTTGCTCCTCCTTCTCTTCTTCCTCATTCTCTTCTTCTTCTTCTTCTTCTCAAATTCGAGCTAAATTTGGCTCGAACCCTTTCGGGCTCTGTAGCAGAGCTGCTCTTTTTTTTCATCTCTTTGACCCCCTCTTTACTTGATTGGTTACTTTTTCTTTTTTTTTCTTTTCTTTATTCCTTCTCCTCCAATCACCACCCGCCACGTGTCTATGGGGTGGTGGGAGTGGTGATTGAAGAGGGTCTCAATCATCATCCAATGTTAAAAAAGTAAGTGGATATTTTTTAAAAAGTTATAATTCTATTTTCACACATCAATTCCTCTCAATTCATACACTTAACGAAAATTTTCCTTCATACAATTTTATTTTAAAATAAAAATACCATTATAACCTTTTCTTGTTTCACCAAAGAAAAATGCTTGGGAGCACTAATTAGTGCTCCCACTAATTAGGTGGCAGTGGGTTCCGGCATGAATGATGTGATGTTTTGGTCTTGAAGTTGTATTTTTTTTTTTTTTTTTTTACTTTTTTAATGCATTAGTGCTATTAGTGGTGATGTTTTTAGTGGGATGAATCATTGTTGTTCACCAAAACCCTAATTCAAAACACCACACACCATTGTCCATCACTAGCGCCATGTAATGCTCCAAAAAAATGGGAACATAAAGGTATATATTAACAAATAAATGCGGGGTTTTTCTAAGGTTACAAATATGACACACCAAAATTTACTCTAAGGTTGAAGTCTAAGAAAAGTCATCAATGAGTCCTTTGGTTAATAATCAGGTAAGATCTAAAAAAAAATCGAAAGAGCCAAAATAGCCTCATTTCTAAGTCTAATCTCCTTAGAGCATCTCTAAGGAGATTGTTAAACAAGGCTTGTTAGGCATTTTAGCCAATGTAGTCTAATTTTGAGCTCCAATGGGCTAGCTACTTTACCATCCTATTTTTTTGGTGGCTACAATTGAAGAACCCTAGAGGCTCTCCAAACAATTATGTATGTATATATTGTAGATTTTTATATATTTATGTCTTGGATTTGGGATTTTTTATATTTTATATATATATATATATGTGTGTGTGTGTGTGTGTGTGTGTTTGTGTAGCAATTTTATATGTTCTTTCAATTCTGTTTGATGAATTATGGAATAACTTATTTTGTATTTTGTATGGACAAATTTATTATTATTGCAAATTTATATTAGTAAAATACCAACAATTAGTATTTTTTTTATTTTAAAAATTAATTAAGTTAGTTTAAATGATTAGCTAAAATAAATAGCGTGGTTGGAGAACACAACAGCTAAAGTAATTAGGTAAAATAAAGAGTGTACTTTTTTTGTACTTTAGCTAGTGAAAAGTAGAGAATGTGGTTGGAGTTGCTCTTAAATAGCAAAGTGTAGACATTCCATTTTGACTAACCCTAAGATTTTGGACGCTTACAATTATCTCCATGATGAAACAGTACTTATTTCATCTTTGGAATATTTAAAATTGTTTAGAATTGCTGTATAAAACCTATTTTAGCCAAAAGTCGACTTTTTTGCAAAAATAACCATTTTACCCCTAAACCTATTTTTAGCCAAAAATTAAATTTTTAACCCCGAGAAAGAGAGGAAAGCCCAGTTGTACTGTGATTGAAGAGATTTTCCAAAATTAGTGGCCGAATTTTTCAAAAATATTGATCGGAGAGCAATTCAGGCTTGCTTGAGCCACAAACAAGCCAATGGCAAAGGCTCCGGCACTTGTCCATGCATAGATGACACATGTACCAAGACAGGTTGTACATGTAAACGTTAGTTGTGCGTGCACACATTGGTTTTGAAGAATTGATTGGTAAAGAAGATTTCGGGAAAGAAATCGAGAGCCAACAGCAAATGTTTACTGGATGTTAGATTACTTACATTACTTGTAATTTATAGAATTAGGGCGACGCTGTTTTCAATTTATAAAATTTTGATGTAATATTTTGTCTTTAGATGTAAAACCTTAACAAAACCTCGTATTTTTATGTTCTTATATTATCTAATGTCCTCAATTTTTGAGGCATCACATTTTTCATACAATCAGTTCGGGTAAATTACACTTTGATTAAAATTTATTTTTTTCTCACTTTGACCTTTTATGTTTCAAGTTTTTTTCAATTTACTCTTAAAACTAATTTATGTTCAAAATTAGACAAGAAATACCATAATAGCTATCACATAACAAAAAATATATATATATATATATATATATATATATTATATTAGAATTTAAATTTATATTAGAGATGTGAGTTATAGAATAAAATTTTTTATATCATGTGACTGTTAATATGTCATTTTTAATAAAAATTAGCTTTAGGAGTAAATTGGAAAAAAATTAGAACATGAATAGCCAAAATGAGAAAAAACAAACTTTAAAGGCCAAAATGAGAAAGTGACCAAATATGAAAAGAGCAAAATGTAATTTAGCCCAGTTAGTTTTGTACTCTGCTCATTAAATTTTCTGTTTGAGTACACACCATATGATTACATGGCATAGTTTTGAAGAGATCTTTCACATGAAACATCTCTAAAAGCTTACTCCGTTTCTGTCTCGTCGGACCATTGGATCACTACCATCATACCATTTCCACATGGGTAACAAAAGTTCCATTTCATTCTTCTCACCAATTCAGCTTCTCAATCAAAAGAAACAACAAATTAAAATGAGTTAAAAGATGAGAGAGAGGCTGGTAGATATCATCCATCCATCCATCCATCCATCACCTTAATTAGCTTGCAAAAGATTGAGTTGAGATATGCTAATCATCATATCAATCAATGGGTGAAATAGGATATTTTAGATTGACTACTTTTGGTGATCAAAATTGAGTGTAAATGGGATTATTTAATTTTGTGAGGGGTATAGTGTAATTTGCACAAACTTGCAAGATTTGCTTCTTTACCCATGAAGGTAAAATTTGTATACATAATTTTTACCATTTTGGAAAATGTTTCGTACAAAAGATTTTGAAGAGGTTTTCAAAATCTGTTTTGAAATCGTTTGCAAAAACTTGTGTTACCTTGGTGAGGCGATTGATCGTATTGGTTAAAAGATCGATCCAAGTTTAAGCAATCGATTGATACGCAGTCACTTTATTTAAATTGTTTAGCAAATTTATCCGACTGATAGGCAATCAACTGCGCTTCATGTTGTGATCGATCGCTATTCTGCTTATTTCTAAATCCTAAGTCTGTTGGTTTTGGAATTCCTTTCTCTATAAGAAAAACTTTTTCTAAACCAGATTTTAGATATCTCCACTATTGATTTTTCAAAGAAAATTAATATATTCTCTCCAGAGAGTTGAGTTTCAAAAACCAAAAAACATCTTTCGAAACCTCTGCATTCTTGCATTGTGTGTCCTACACTTTTGTCCGGTTGGGTAATCGAAGCCATTTGTGAATGGAGATTGGAGCAGAAGCATCGTGATGTCCTGAATTGAGGAGTAACTACAATACATCGTGTTAAGGTAAATCCAAGTGAATATTGTAAATCCTCTCGAGAATGTATTTGTATTCTTAAATCTTTAATGGATTTTTCAAAGTGTTGAGACTCTGATTTTTCCCCTTTATGGGTTTTCCACATTATATCTTGTGTTCATGTGTTGATTGTTTATTCATATAATAATCTGTTTAATCTACTAAAATTGGACTTAATAATCAAATTTTAATTGGATAGCTTATTCACCCCCTTTTAGGCTCTTTATATTCGGACTCCGTAATTTCAATGGGGAAAGAAGCTCTTCATACATATTCGAATGAGGAAGAAACTCTCGCGTGTGTTGTGCTGTCCCTCAAGGCTCAATCCTCAATCCTCATGTAATGCAAGTGTAGTTCCAAGAATTGGACAAATTTGTAATGCTGTCAAGAGTTCTGTAAAATCTGTGGGGAAAGAAGATTTACACACATATATTATCGTATAACTGACAAGAGCGATGATCGCCATATAAAAATAAATAAACAAATAAAAACCTGGACCTTTAGAGCAGTTATACTTTCACAATTGAGGCTTCCCCTGATGAAGAAAGTTGTGGAAAGATTTCTCCAGATTTTGCATATTTCTTTTCAATATTAGAAAACCGAGGCAAAATCAGGGAATTCACATAATTGTTGGTTGCAACAACGGAAAATGTGAAACATGACTTTTTGATTGGGAAACCACTTCGATTGAGCAGCAATATTACACAAATTAGTTTCTGGTTAAGACATAACCACTTGGATTCTACTATAGTTATGTCAACTGGTGTACAATGCTAGAGGTTGGGGAATAGATGTATGGCATGAAAAATGCCATCATTGAGGCAAACATGGGGCTTGAACTAAACATTATTATTATTATCATTATTATCAGGGGATAGTAATAGAATAATGGAAGAATAACTAAGCATAGGGTACAGATTGGCATCAAGAAAATGTGCATACTGTGTAATCGCCATGTCTCTTTCCAGGTCACCAGAGAGAACATCAAACGGTGCAGGTTTGCTGGTGTCCACAAAGGGTTCCCATTTGTAACCAGGTCGCTCAGGCAAAGTAACGATGACAGCTAAATGACTAGTGTTGAACGCAATGTATAGTTCCCCCTTCACAGAGTCAACCTGAATTTAGATTTATACAATGGTCAACTCAATAAAAATATATGAAGTAAAATGAGCCAACTAAATTATTGGTAATGAAAAGCCAAAAAGATTGTGGCTCAGAAATTATATAGATCGATAGATAATGTCCACAAACCATGATAAAAACAATTGGAAGATCAGAAGTTAGTTTGGTGGGGAAAAACATGTCCATTTCCCATGACAGAACCTTTATGCCCTGTGCTTCATTTTATGTTATTACTCACATTTTTCATGCTTTATCTGTAAACTGTGAAAAGTTATCTTTCCACAAACTTCATCCTACTGTAGAAGCATCACCGACCAGTAGCTGCATATTTATGTTTTGAGATTGATGCTAGTTTTAGAAGGTGAAACAAATAAATAAACCCACTTTTTGTTGATTTGGGCAGCAATGAGGTGAGTCAAATCAAAATATGATTCTTGCTTCAACTTATTTGTCGCAAGTTTGCTTGATAATAATTTTATTAAACCATACGATGTGAACATGAATAAGAGTGTTAATAGAAGTATGCAATGGAAAATGCAGTAAGATTGCATACCAATGTAAATGCCACAAACCGGCTTGTTTCAGACCAATCTGGCATCTCAGGGGAATGACCATGCCACTGCAACCTCTCGGCCGTAGGGAAGTCATTTAAGCCAAGTGACTCGCATTCACTGTAAATTTTCATATCAAATGAGGTAGCTGCCAAAAGTTCATCAGAAAGCAAAAGCACAAACAGAAAGCCACTAGAAAAGAGAACTTACTGCCGGAACTTGGTCATAAGGCTGCAAAATCTGAAGAAGTCAGATGAGGCCTCTTCTTTCTTATCCCACCGGAAGTAGTTAATCTGCAACCAAAGCTTTACTTGTTAGCCAATAAATACTATGGGCTCAGGTGACAGAACTACAGAACAAGGAGGAACCGATCACATAGTTATCGTGGCAATATGTATTATTGTTCCCGCCTTTCGTGTGACCATATTCATCACCCATATAGATCATCGGGACGCCCTGGTGAGACAAAGATAAAAGTTAAAACAAGGAAAACAAGATACCATGCAACAAGAGGATGGTTCCCCAAATACACAGACAGAACAACTTGGCAAAAAACAAAGCCCAGCACAAGATCCACTGAAGTTTTTTTGGGTGAATAAGATCCACTGAAGTTAACCATAACAGTGGAGAGAAATTGAATAAAACATTATTATAAGGATTAAATATTTCATTGCAAATTACCCATATTGTCAAACATCTGATATTAAGCTCATATCCTATTACAAATTGTTGAAAATTCCCGAAGAATATAAGCATCTCTTTTTGTGTGTGTACATAAAAAAGGGCTTCAGTGAATTCTCTTTTTAAAGGGATTTCACTTTTTTTATTGCTAGAGATTGGTTGTCGACGTGTGACATGTAGAGGATTTTGATGTAGTCTTGTTTGGGTTATGTAATTTCTTTTTCTTTTTTTTTTTTAATCTTCTTTGTAGATGATGCCTTATCATCGTTTCTTTTTATTCATTGATAAAATTCTTTGTTGTTGATAAAAAAAAAAAGCGTATATAAGAAAGGCTACATAGTGTATGATGCTCCAACCAAATCAGGGTTTGGGGCCGCACGTGCAGCAGAGGGGTGCAGCAAGCCTGGAACAAGCTGCAGCAAACAGCATGTGCAGTCAAGGGCCACCGCACATGCGGGAGGGGCCACCGCACGTGCGGCCTTCGGTGCTTTTATCTCATTTTTGGGCCTAAACACTCCAAAGTTGATCTCTCTCTTTTTCCCTCACTTTTCTCTTCTCTCTCTCCAAACTCATTTCTCTCACTCTTCGCTCGAAAATACACCCAAACCCTTAAATTTTCTTAAATCCAACAAGAACAACCAATATTTTGATACTAGTTCTTTAGACCAAAACAGTGAGCACTCTGAGGGCTATGTGTTGACTGAACAAATCGAAAATCCAGTGACGTTGAAAATTAGGGTTTTTCTCTCTTTTCTCTTCTAATTTTTGAGGTAGGGATTTTTATAAAGTGTACCTGTGTTTTAGCTTTATTATGTGCTAATTTGAAAGATTGAGTTGTTTGGAAGTCAGGGTTTTCTTTTTTATTTTATCTATGTTGGTTATAATGCATAAATTTGGGGAAGTTCTTTTGTGATCATCAAACTTTCAAATTATTTTACCTATTATGTTCCATGGCTTGAGAAGTTGAGAAAAATATACTTCAATCGAGAAATCCCCAAATTTTCCTCAAACCCTAGAATAAATTGAAGAATGAGATTGTGTTGATGAAATTCATAGAGAATTATGAATATTGTATATTGGAATTGATGAGATTATTGAAAAACCTTATTGATTTTGGAAAGTTCGAGAAATGTTGAAATTTTGCTCTATATACTATTTTGGAATATTGAAATAGAGATAATTGTTTTGGCAATCGGTGGAGGATTGTGTTGACGTGTTGTAGAAATTGCATGCAAATTAGGGAAATTGAAACTCTTACAAGGGCATGCATATCATTGAACATCTCATCATCTCATGTTTTCATGTTTTCAATTCTGTATCACATTTGAGAAATGCATTGTGATTGATTTATCGAAAGAGATTGAAATGTGTTGAGAAATGGGGTAAATATCTTGGTGAATCCAGTTAGGGGGTGTAGTTGTTGAGAATTAAGTTGGCTTTAGGTTCATAGTGAAAGTCCTAAAACACACATGGAGTAGGTTCCAATTTCCTTCTGGATAGGAGTCGATATAGTAGATTTCGGTAGTGCTATATAAGACTACTAGCAGACTCCTAGGGATTGCCAGAGTCACATTTACCACCCCATATTTCAATGAAATGGAAGCTTTGATTGGCTAATCGTTTCTAAAAAGTGCATGACATGAATTTTGGAAAAGTAGACTAAAATTTTTACCATGGCATTTCATTGCATTCACCTTATGATATTGTTAAACTTCATGCACTTCATTAAGATTATCTCCGTTGGACATTATGTTGATCCCTATGTGGAAACCATTTTCAGGTGTTGACGGTGTGCCTCCGCCAAGATGGAGTGGAGAATTTTGGAGCGTGAAGCTCATTTCTTTTGTATATTTTTGTGAAGCCAAGGGCTAATATGTATTGGGTTGAGAACTACCTTTGATGTAACTGGGCAAGGCCCTTGGAACTTGTAGCCTTTACGGCATATACTCGTATTTGTTTAGTTTTAGCTCTTGTAATCATATGCTATAGATTCCAGTCTTAGAGATTGTGAATGTCAGTGTTTTTAAAGGCTCAAGGCGCACCAAAATGCCAAACGACTCTTGGGGCATATGCGCAAGGTGAGGCACACGCTTCATTGAAGCGAGACACACCTTTCAATAAAAAATAAATAAATTAACATGGACTAATAATTTGGGTATCAACATAATCAAAACAAAGAATTCACAACTTATAACCACTAAAACAAAGTAGAACTTTATCCTGACAGTGTAGCAAGGGGCTGAAGATAATTTGGAACATCTTTGAAAGACAGCAGTAAACCAGAAGAAAAGAGGACAAAACCAAAGGAGAAAATCAGCAAAACATAGCAGAAAATTAGAGAAGATGAAGGAGAAGATAAGCAACCTAAAATCTGGAAGGAGAAGAAAAAAAGAAGAAGAGAAGAAAAGGAAAAAAAAAAAGCACCTAGAGAAGAAAAAACGAAGAAATAGGGGAGTGGAAATCAAACCCAGCAACTGGAGAAAAAAAAGAAGAACAAAAAAAAGGAGAGCAGAGAACAAGAAAATAAAGCACCTCGAGAAGAAAAAGAAAAAAAACAGAAGGGAAGAAGAAGAGAAGAAAACAATAAAAGCACCCGGAGAAGAAGATGAAACAAAAAAACAGTGGGGGAGGGGGGGGGGGGAATCAAACCCAGAAACTGGAGAAGAAAAAGAAAGGAGGAGAATAAGAAAAGAAAAGGAAAACATACCCAAAATCTAGAGACGAAGAAGCTGTCGGAAGCTGGAGATGAAGAAGCTACCGAACTCTGGATGCTATCTTGACCACTTCATAACTTTTCTTTGCTAGGGTTTTTGATATTTGATGTATCAATGTATATATATACATATTTTTTTTAGGGAGTTTTAATCCAATGTGATGGCACATATATTTACATCATAAATCATAAACCAAAAAAAAGAGTAAAATTGTCGGCTACGGTTAAACAAAATCCAAAAACAGAATCATGCATAAAGCGTGCTTTTTTTTGTGCCTTGCACCTTAAGTGCTTAAGGCGCGCGCCTCACTGTGCCTCTTTGAATGCTCCCCGCTTGGGCTTGTACAAGTCGCACAAGTTATGCCTCACGACGCCTTGCGCCTAGGTGCGCCTTTTACAACACTTGTGAATGTATTATTGCATGTGATCTCATTTTGTAATCTTTAAATGAAACTCACGAATGAAATACAGGGATTTAGTATGATGTTGACTTGTGCATTGTCGAGATAAGATATTGCTTCTGCTTGTTAATTATATTGATAATGAGGATTATGTAATGAATGTGGATTATATCCAATGAGTCAGGTTTCATAAATTAGGGGGCATTACATGTATTAAAACAAAATTAAACTTTTCAATTTAACTGTGGGGTGAACTGAGCAAATAGGGAAGAGATGGTGTGAATTGAGATATTTAGTGGTGTCTAGATAGAATCACGCTTTATATTAATAAAGTACATATTTACATTGACATGAATTCCCTCAACTTCAACCCTACATGCGTGCCTCTTGGAATGGCGGGTAAAAACTTTCAAAGCTTTTAGTATTGAATGCAAGACCAAAGCCTGTATTGGCTTTATTGCCACTATCAAGATGAAAATTTCTTCTTGTTATAAACAAAATAAACCAAACCAAACCAATCCAAATCAAGCCTTAAGTCCCACCAAATGGGGTCGGCTACATAAATCTTTATTCTCCATTTGACTCTATCCAAGGCCATATCGTTAGTCAAATTAACAAGATTCATATCTCTATTTACTACACTAGTCCACGTCAATCTAGGTCTGTCCCTTCCCCTGACACTTCCATCTACCGTCACTGTATCGCATCTCTTCACTACTGTCTCTGTTGGTCTCTATTGTATATGACCAAACCATCTCAATCTATTCTCCTTCAACTTATCTTCTATCGGTACTACTCCTATTCATTCTTGAATATACTCATTCCTAACACTACCTTTTTAGTTTTGCCACACATCCATTTTAACATCCTCATCTCAGCAACACTTATCTTATATACATGTTGTTTCTTAGTTACATAACATTCCGTCCCATACAACATTGCTGGTCTAATAGCCGTTCTATAGAACTTCTCTTTTAGTCTAGTGGGTACTCGTTAGCGTCAATATTCCATTTGCTGATATATATGCACTAGATTCTTCCACTTCCCCACTGAAAAGATTTAGGACAATTAGCCATCATGTAAGCATTTAAGTCATATTAACTTTCATTATTAATATGCAGGTTAGATGTAAAGCCGTCCCCATGTTGTCCTCCATTATTAAGTTGTACATAACACAGAGCAATTTAATATTGTTACCCAAAAGACAATAATAATAACTGCAACAACACAAAAGCAATAAATGAAAAACTGAATGGCGAAATTAGTGCAAACTTATTGAACGACAAGAAAAAAATTTGAATAATTTAATCTTGTCAACTAAAATTTGATCCAGTACCAGAAAATGGGAGTTTAAACTTGGTTTGGTTTTACATGGAGGAGACTCAAATTAAATGCCATGAAAAATAAAATGGACCCATTTTAAATTGTACGCAAAACACAATTGACTTTTGTCATCATCGTGGATGGAGGAATAGACCAATCAATTTTCTTGTGGCAAGTCTAAAAAATAGAAAAAAAATATATGATGCGTTTCAATCCTTGTAAGTGTAAATAGCCCAATCAACATTTTAGGCAGCATTTTCAACATAGGATTTTTTTTTTTTTTTTGCTTCATATCTCATAATAAGTAAATCAAGTCCATCTCACAATTGAGGTTGAAA